TCCTAGCATGTCCTCGAATTAATTAGACAATATATCTAGTTCTTGTTCATCTACAATTTTTGTGATTTAGGTGAAATCTATGTTGGAGATTGGGGTTTAGAAATAAATTATTGGGTTCAAGGTGTGTTGCAAATGTTACTTTCTTTTAGGCCAATTTCATCCCACCAGATCTGGTATGCAAAAGGGGTAACCCAAAATGCTCGTAAGATACAATGAAGTACCTTGTTGATCTTGCCTTTGCACTAGCAAGATCAACCACTGAATTGTTCTTTGGAAAGTGACAAAACAATAATTTTTGCACAGAATTTCTACAACAATCGTAGTACAAAAATGAACTATTTTATTTAAATAATAGTAGAGATTTGTTTTCAGGTTCAAGAGATTTAGAAGAAGAAGAGATAACTACATATTTATATATGCAAGATGTCTGTTGGGAACAGACGCTTCTTTTCAATTTTATCCTTGAAAATTCTTTCAAAAGTCATTTGATTTAATTTGAATTCCAACTTACATGTTTTCTTACCTTCCAAAGTTATCCACTCATCTTTGAGAAATTTATTAGAATTGTATTTTTTTTTTTTGACAAAAATGGTTCGAACCATATAAATGTGATTTGAACCAAAATCTTACTTTTCAAATTCTAATTTTACAAAACAGTTCAAATTATAATTATATGATTCAAACCAAAGTTATACTTTATCCACTCATCTTTGAGAAATTTATTAGAATTGTATTTTTTTTTTTTGACAAAAATGGTTTCAACCATATAAATGTGATTTGAACCAAAATCTTACTTTTCAAATTTTGATTTTACAAAACAGTTCAAATTATAATTATATGATTCAAACCAAAGTTATACTTTCTCAATTACATTTTGTGCAATTACTTTGAACAAACTTGTTGTGGTTCAAACCTAAATCCTGAAATTATTTTGAAAATTCTTCAACAATCTAAAGCTATTATTGTTTGCATTTGGATTTGGCAAAGATGCAATTTTAAACTGCCTTTTGTAAATTACTTTATTTGTGCAATATGCACCCAAACATTTTTTTTTATGAGAAATATAATTTTATTGATATATGAAAATAATCATAAGAGTTACAAGACTAATCCAAATAAAATAATACGTCAAAGGTATTACACTCATAAAATGTGTGCAAATATAAAGTTAAATAATCCAATGCCTATATGAATATCGCAGCCAGACTCAATCTCAAGATTTAACAATTAAATTGCATTCTAGCATAATTCATCTAAACAGAAAATAAATTGGTTGGGACAAAAAAAAATTAAACTAGGGACCTCGTTCCCAACCATGCCTTCAATAGCTATAGCAAGCATGACAACTTATTTGAGTTCAACCAATATCACATTTAAGTTGCCGTCTTTCTTTGATAAGAGTAAATCTCGATAAAAAATATTGCGAAAGCCAAGACAAAAACCTTAATTCATTGAAAATACTCTAGTAATTTTATAATTCCACTGCAAGTTTTTATACCATCCAAACAAACACCTTTTGTTCTTACAAAATTTCAAAGCAATTCATTGATGAATTTTTTATTTTATCTTAAGTTACAAAATGAAAAGTAATTCTTTTCTATATATTCCTTAATTCATTTCATTCGTATATAATGACTCAAATTTTGAATTTCTTACTTTCATGAGAATGAAATTATTACTGTATTATATTATTTAGATAGTTAACATTAATGAAAATTTTTGGGTGATATTGATACTAAGTTAAAGCTTCAATACAATGCTAGTAATCATAAAGGACAAAAGTTGTAGATATAGTTGTTGTTTGCGAGGCAATTTTAAGAACCCTTTTTACTTATTCATAAGAAATGTTATCTCTAAGATACAATGTGGACTTAAAAGTACTTTAATCACATAAACCAGTACA